GCTCCGATGGTGAATTGGCGATTGCCTAGGGGCGGTAGCTCGTGATTTGAACTCCGTCGTGTCCGGCGAGGTTTTTATGAAGTGAGATCATTCAGCTGGAGGGCGATGAGCTGGAAATCTCAGTTTCATACCTTCTGCAATACTAACCGTGCGAAATTAATGAGAAAGGGCATGAAAATCTAAGCTAAAAATGAGAACAAAATAAGATGAAGTTGAAGAATGTTAGCTCCCACTGACTCTCCTGGTCTGTTCAGTCTTGCAAGTTCTGAGGACACAGGAAAATATTTTTGCCTCGTAATTAATCTAATTACAGTTTTGAAAGTATTCGTTCTGCTTTGTGACCTGGATGCACTAAAAAAATGTGAAGGCATACATAACCTTAATTCCTAGCTGTCACCATGGGGGAAAGTATCAGGCACCACTGCCCTCAGAACATGGGCTAGCGTATGGTAGATTGGCATCTTCAGATTTGTCCACATTGTTAAATGCAGGCCACTGTCCTGTTTCCAGCAATCAGTCTCCAATCTCTTTTCCTATATCAATTATACTGAGCCATTGTTTCCTTCTGCCTTGGTTGGCATAAATTTCCTCTATCCCACACGTTTGCTTCTTGCACAATACCTGCACCGAACATGCATTCTTGCAGACTTGTAATGCTTACAAGAGGAGGTCGATTGCACATTTTCTTCAAATTGTATTGTTGTGTATGCCAGCGCTGCAAGATCACAAAACATGTTCACGTTATCACTACCCTGCCCCAAACTCATGAACTGATTAGAAATCATCGGTTTGATTTATGTTTCTGTCTCCGGTCAAAATGTCTTTTGAAATGCACATCAATCGTATTGTTTTTTCTCAAAGACGCAGGATAGAAAACATTGCTCAAAGTGTCTTTTGAAATGCACATCAATCGTATTTAGAAAAAAACATCATTTCGATTTGGATATCTGTCCATGCCCACACACTTTCCTTCACAGTTATGGTCTTTCAACTTTCAAGTTCCACAGTGCATTTGATGGTGTCACTCACCACTGACAATAAAGTTCTGCATAGAAGTGTTCTTTTGTGCTGCTGAAACACTTTCTGATGTTAGTGATTTTGCTGTGTCTATACAGATTGAGAATCAGTGGGGATCATGAGTGAACCTGGCAGGTTGAGTCTGGTTCTGTTATACTACTACAACTGAAGAGTTCTGAGTTCAACAAAAAAGAAGAGAAAGAAAACAACCAGACAAAAAAAGGTTAGGCTAGACATGATCAGGCAATACATAGGTGGGGATTTGCACAGAAAGTAGTTCATCTACTAGCAGGTTTTCGGATACATTCTTTCAAAGTTTTCAGGCCATACTGAGTGGAGCTGATTGGCTCAGTGTTATATATTGTATACAAATGACATGTATTCTTTCCCAACACTATGCATACAATACATGTTCTAATATTCTTTCTGTACATGCTGTGGTATGTTCTTTGGACATTCTATACAAGTATACATGTGAATGTCATAGTCTCATGAAGAGGCAGAGCTTGGCCTAAAGCCAGCAGAGGCCAATCGTTAAAGTTCGACGCTATTTTTAAATTTTTATCAAGCCAAATGGCTGCAACTGATGGGTCCATGACCTATGAGAAGCTCCACCACTTGATTGGTAGCGCAACCAAATCGCCGTTTGCTTGCTTGTAGTATTTGCCTCAAAGAAGCACCCCTGTATTTGTAAGTAATCCACCAGCTTGTACTTTGCAGAGCTAGCTCAGAGGTGGAAGTGAATTGTATCTACGCATCTAAGTGTAAACGAATTAGCGATAATATTCTTGCACTCCTAATCTAAACCATTTGTGATGTGTGCTTTTATATTGCACATATTTTACCTTTTGATTGACACGAGTTGTACGTATTCCATATAGCAATAAACAGTAGGGTAATTTGGTGGGAAGTGATGCTTCCAAAACGTAAAACCGCGTCTGTTCGAAAACCAGTACGCCCGCTTTAAAACGGCATCAATTTATAATCATAACGAAAAATATCTTGAAATGGTATTTCTTGAGCTAGAGGTTGCAGCCGTTTCGTTGTGTGGTGCTCTGCTCTGCATTTTAATAGAGAATGACAGGGAGCGACGTGATATCGTCAAATTTAAGATGGTCTTAGGACGTTACATCGTCGAATTTCTCTGCGTTTTGACAGAGAGGGGCGTGATATCGTCAAATTTCTCTTCTCAGCATTTTGACAGAGAATGACAGAGCGCGATGGTATTAACATATACGGAGTTTACGCTGAACAGCGACCAAAGAAACACTGAAACAGTCGGTTGTCATGGTCCAAGCACCCCTGTAAACCGATGCTTCAGGTACACGAAATCTTCACCCCCACCCCGGGGCCTTGTCCGTTTTCCAAGATCACATACGAAATTCTCGATAGAACGAAGCTTGGTATATCCATATTCCACCCGAGGGATAAGATAAGCCTGGCTTGTTGCATGCGTGAAGCAAATCCGCGCGCCTGGACTGGACACGTGGCCACCAAGATTTCTGAATCCGAGGCGCATGCGATCCGATCCCTGGCGGATTTTCACGCCTCATTTTCAGCGGTGCAAATCTAGACGGAGGTGTCTCCGTCTAAAGCTGGCCCTGTCCTCATGGACAACCGCCTCCAAGAAACGCAATGCGCGGTGTGGCCAATGGCAGCCACTCGTTGCGCCCAACCAAACCATGACCTGAAAGCTACTGGTGCCACAAATGTTTTTGAATAATCATTAATTAAATGAGCACCCTTTTTTAAGCGATACTGTACTGTTTTGTTAATAATGAAAAGAGGTTGTCTGTCTCTTGTGTGCTGACGAGTGTCAGATTTTTTTTGCATTGCTTTTGTTGGGTCAGCTTTCCGGCACGCAAGGAATATGAAAGCAAGGTAAACAAGCAAAGCGAGTATGGAAAAAAAGCAATTCGAGAGAAGAGGGGTGGGGTTACGTACGGCAGCGGCTAAAACGTGACTGCCAAGCCATTAACGCTGCCGCCGGATGGAAAAAAAGGAGTATGGCTTGGGCTTTGGGGCAGATGACAACTTGCACTTGCTAGAGCTTCTTCATGCCCACGAAAACTCTCTGGTAAGATAATTGTCTTCTTTAAAACACGTGTAAACTCCCTTAAGACACGTATTAGAAGTTTTTTTTTTGAAATGATGCACATACGCAATGCGAAAATAGTTTTCTAAAAATTCATATGAAAATGATAAATTTCATGTGCGCATATACTAGAAGAAAGAATCATGGGAGTCTTCAAAACTTTTAGGTAGTGTGTTTTAAGGATTTTTCACAACTACACTAAATGAATGGTTTGCACCGAAACAACCGTGCTCAAGTTAACTAACTATTTGATTTTTTTTACATTTTAAAGATGGTTTGTCTTCTTTTTTTAAAAAAAAAAAAAAAGCGCAAACACATAGCTCATACACACTAGCACACATGTCTTACCCTATGGACAAACCCTATGACACTAACACCATAAAATCTAGAATAAATCCATGTCGATACAGATAGACATGTTCTATCATAGAGAACCTAACCAACCGAGCTATACTATGCACCAGGAAAAACTCCATGACTCACTAACAACAAATGTAAGAAGCATGGTAGATAATTTGAGAAGGTACTCCCTCAATCTGAGAGATATAGGTCGATCTAGTTTGGCCCTTAAGTGCTTAAAAATTCTGTGACTAAGTTTGTAAAAAAATTATAAACACCTAGAACATCAAATTAGTTCATGAATCCATCATGAAATAATCCTTTGTGCATTTATTTGGTATATGATATATAAGAGATTGTTTTTATAGTTTTGGTCAAAGTTAAAGAAGTTTAACTCATGACAAAAAAAATTTGAAGGAAGCTAACTTCTGAAACGAGGGGGAATAACAATCATTGCCGATGATACTCATGCGATTTTCATCATTGTCCTGAGCTGTAGCAGTTGATGAAAAGGGCTTTTTTTATATGGCAAAAGATCTCGGTAGATCACACGCTCAACTAAATCAGCGCATTGCCACCCAAAAATCGGGTATGAGTGTTAGGATCATCCTCAGCTAGGTTAAAACCATTGCTACGCTCCGGGGGAAAAAATCACAATTGGGCAAGTAGGTTTAAACGTGAATAATTTGGACAAAGGGGGTAAACGCACACCTGACAAATGGGATCTCAGCCGTCAAATGCCAAACAGACGGTCAACAAGCGATGGGCTGGCCGAGGCCCAAACAAGGCTCCGAGGCCGTTTCGATCCAACCGTCCAATGGCAGTGATGACTTGTCGCCTCGAATCGAACTCGGAGCGCGACGCAGGCCCACCATCCCTCCCCTGCCCTGACCCCTGTATATAAACCGCTTCGGCCGCACAGGTCCGAATTAATTGATTTTTTATATAATTATAAACCGACTGAATTTGCTTATTTCCGGCTCTTGAAATCGCCCCCTGATTCCTCCGCTCGTCAAATCCTCGCCGTGCCCGTGTAGCAATTCCTTGCGTTGGCGAAACACCGCGAGCTCCTCCCTCTCTCCGGCGGCAAATCGTAGAATCGCCTCGCTTGGCCCGGGGCCGCTCTGAGCCCGCCGCCAGCCTCCTCGTCTGAAGAAGAACGGCAGCCGTCGTCGGGCTCCGGTGGTTCCGCCGGACAACGGCAGGTAGCCAGTCGCGCTCCTCACGCCGCCGACTCGATTGGCATTGTATTTGCCTTTCCGTTTGTTGGTAAGCATCTTAACTTCGCTTGGTGATTTTTTTTTCTTTTTTTTTCGGAGACTTATTTGTTCGGTAGATCGATCTCTTTACTTACTACTATGATCAACAATCAGATCGAAAATTCTAGAAAGAGGAGCGAATCGGGATTAGTCCGTTGCAGATACAAAGCCCGCTCCTGGTGGATGTGCGAGGCCATGTTTTTGTTGCAAAAAACACCCCCAAGCGATTCACTTCGATTTCGTTCTTGTGTTCTTGTAACGGATCAAAGCACTGATGTTCCTGCGCTGCAATGGCCCCTTCGCTCGTTAATCTGTTATATTCTGTTGTCAATACTCGGTTATATTCTGTTGTCAATACTCGGCTGTATCCAAGGATGCGATTTCTTTCAAGTCAAAATCTTTTGGGTGCTCCTGTAGAATTTGGAAATCTTCGTATTTTGACTCCTGTTAGTCTGATTTATGTTTTGACGCCCGTTAATCTAGTTTGTTCGACTATTGACAATATTTTTTATTTCTTGTTTGCCACAGAGTTCCCGAAGCAAAACGATCCTATGAGATTCTTCAAGGGGAGCAAGGTGGAGGTACTGCAGGAGGCAGAGGTGCCATTTGGTTCTTGGAGGCCTGGTGAGATCATCTCCGGCAATGGACACACCTACTTGGTGAGATATGATGAAAGTCCCGTTGACTCTAGCGTGGCTGTTGAAAGGGTGCCAAGAAGGTTGATGAGACCTCGCCCTCCTGTGGATGATCCTGTACGCTGGAGTTTGGGTACTATTCTTGAGGCCTTTGACAGCTACTCGTGGAAGGTTGCTGAGGTGGTGAGAGTGCTTGGAAAGAATCAATATCTAGTCAGGCTGCTTGGGTCTTCGCTGGAGTTGAGTGCACATGCATCGGATCTTCGATTGAGGAAGCTTTGGCTAGATGACAGATGGGTTGTGACTCAGAAGGTAATGCTTTGTTCCTTCAATTCTCAAACTACATTAGATTATTTTATAATAAGGAGATCAATAGAAAGATGTTTTTACTTATATACATTAGCTCAATCAAGCAGTTAACATGGTCTAACTGTTGTATTTTCAATAAAATCTAATACCATAATTTTGAGGTTCTTTGATGTTCACTCATGAGCAGTTAGATTTTGTTTCAAGTATTAATGGGAATGCCCTAGATCCTAATGAGACTTGTCTTTCAATCATTTTCAGTATTCCGCAAGATGCTTGGATGGTGGTGCATTCAGAGGCCGATCGAAAGATGGAAATGTAGACCATAACCATAACTTCAGAATGGACAGGCGTATTCAACTTGAGAACCTGAATGCTTTTGAGGGTGATACATCTAGAGGCATCAAGAGAAAATCGTCTGCTATGTCAACACATCCTCAACGCAGTGAAATCACTAAGAGATTGCGGACACCAAATAGAGAAGGAAGGTACTCAAAGCTGGTTGATAGAGGTTTTTTCCCTTTGGCTGAAAAGGTAGATGCTGTTGATTCCACATGCTTTATGCTGGGTGGGAAATACATGCATGCTAGTCATAAAGGGCATACTAGAACAACTGAAGAATTTAGTGACACAGAGAGTATCTCATCTTCTGTTGGTAGTTCTAGTCCTAACAGTACCCCCCATAGATCACAGTATTATAATTTGGTCTACCAAAGTGGAGATACCTGTAGTAGAACTGATGATGATGAAGCTTCTACATCTGAAAGAGAAACATCAGAACATGATAACGATGGATTGAGGGAAGAAACCCATTTGTTGGAAGAAACCCATTTGCTGGAATTACATGCTTATCGTTCAACAATGTTAGCCTTGTATGCTTGTGGGTCAATTAGCTGGGAGCAAGAGGCTTTGTTGACTAACCTAAGGTTAACACTGAACATCTCAACTGATGAACATCTAGCTGAATTGAGGAGTTTGGTTGCCCATGCTGTTACTTCCAGATAGCTTTTGTTGTTACTTTCCTGGTGACATTTCATATCTTTCTAATTATTGTAAGTTGGGAAATCTCATTAAGGGGTTGAGGTGTTGGAGTACTTCATGTGTAGAATTTTACTTGTGAAAAGAGTTGGTTGGGAAATTTTGTACTATAGATATCTCAAGATTTCTGAAATTTTGCGACAGGGTCTTTAATTATTAATGTTTTTCATACTGAAACACCTCTGTTTTTCTTTCATCTTTGCCTTATGTGGATGTTTAACACTGTACTACTCCACCAATAGTCCTGTCTCCTTGATTGTGTTTGTGATGATTGATGACTGAACTTACAATATTTTGATCAAAGCATGTACACGGTGCTGTTAATAAATATCCTTAAGGAAGTTTAGTTTTGTAAACGATTATCTTTGTAGTGTCGTGCTATATAATTATGCTTTTACTATAGTCGTGCTATACTTGTCTCCAGAGGTGGTGAAAAATTGCGAGTATGGATTGTGAAATATCTGTATGTCTCCTCTTGACATTGTGTTGCCTAGTGGGCTGACTAATTGGTAATGTTTTTTTGCTGTTAATTTAGTAGCAGCTGTTGTGCATGGGCAGAACTTTAGTATTGTTCAATTCTGCAACAGCAAAAGTTTGGGGAAAGGAAATCTGATATTTCTCATGAACTTTCCAGGGCCAAGGTTGGAGGCTTGTAAAGCATCCTTCCATAGGTTCTGTAAATGGAGTCTGCCACATGTTTTGCAGTGCGATAAATGTGGCAACATTTCCATTGAACTTCCATTGGTACTAAATTTATTTTCAATATCTTTTTGCTTTTAGGATCATTATATTTTTTCTTCTAGCATAGTAGTTTCCATGTGAGCTGTCATACCTTATGCTCACAAATAATAGAACAAAGGCCTAAGGAGCACTCAGTTTGATTTACTTATAAAATATATAAGTATAATAACACAAGGGCTGCCCCGTGTGGCTACTTGTATGTGCTCACCTCAAACTTGTATAAAAGATTTATTTTGTTCTTTTTGTTCGTAATTAAGGTCAAGCAGGGCCAAGACTGTGGTTCCAGATTAGCACTGGTTGCTGGATAAAAGGTCAAATTGGATTTGTTTATGATCCAAAGACAAAAAGGTGATCTGTTTGTTGTGTGTGATTTTTCACAGAACAAGCATATTCCCTCTTTGGTAAGTGCTCCTGGAACTCTTGGTTTTATTTAAATCCTTTTTGAGGAGGGAGATTTGAATGATAGTGACAAGGTAAACTAAAATATATTTTGGTCACTGATGCACATTTTTTCCATGTAAAATAAAGCAACCAACAGTCGTAGCTGTATTTATTATATGGATTTATGGTAAACAGCTCTCAATATATGTTACGAGTGCAGATTGCATAGACTTTACAGATTCATTGTGTTGAAGTTAAGAAATAGTCAAGATATATGTTATGGAGTGCAGATTATTTTGAGTTAAAAGTTATATATATAGGTAAATTATATATATAGGTAAATAAATATGGAGTAGGGACTAGAACTTTGGGGCTGTTTGGTACCTTTGCTGGCTACTGTGTAGCCTCGCCAAGCAAGGAATCAGAGCACACAGCTTAATTGGTTGTCTGGCGAGGACATATTGATTTATGCGCGCTGTTAAGATTTTCCTTGCTGCTGCGAGTGAGCCAATTTGGCTCGCCTGGACAGGCAAGATCCTCGTGGCTTGTGTGAGCTAAGCAAGGGGAGGTGGCTGAGAAACCAAGCAGCCAGCCCCTTAATACCTGAACCAGCTATCTTGTGCTTATGGGTGTTACACCTAAGAGTCTTGCATCAAGACAAGGTTGCTGTTTATCATCATACACTTGAAATCTTTGTTAGATAATGGAATAATAATATCCCAGATGTTTTTGAAATATATTTGAAGATCTTTGTAAGTGACCACATCCACAATGACTTTGTGTTCCACGTTTTGCTTTACATGTTTTGTGTTGAACACTTAGGCATTTTAAGAACTGTTTACTGCTTATTTGCTTTTAAAAAACTACTGTTTGCTGCCTAAAATTGTTATGTACCCATGCTTAAATAGAATACTATATGCATAGATGGAATCTTAGGCAACTGGGGAACATGCTTTACAGTGTGCAAGTTAATACGTGTAATAATTAGAAATTGGTGCAGATTCTCATGTGCTAGATCGTTGCTTCCATTATCTCCCCATTGCAGACAGATATTCAGTCTGGGATATGTAGTGCTAATTTGTTTGTTTACAAGATTTTAATAATCACATGGTTATTGCAAAGGACAATCATGAACAATTTTTGGCTTTATGAGCTTTCAATGTGCAATCAGCTCAAGTTCATTTTGGCCTACGCATAAGTTGATGCACACTGCAATTCTATAATAGGAAGTTATTATCAGGTTAAAAGAAATGATTTAGGTGAAATGGTGTGAAACTCAAACATAAATTCCCAAAAGTTCTCAGAGAGGAGATATAGTGCATGCCCCCTCCCCTATCTGATGTTTTCTTTTTGGAGAAATTGTTTCATTTTCAATGCAATATGTTACCTAGTATGCTGGCATATGTGGAAGTAGGGAAGGCTCTTTTACTAGGAATTTTGTAAAAGCATACAAATGTGCCCTAGTTCAGGACTTGCAGCTGATTTTCCATGTACACAAAATGTTGGGATTACATGGTCTGGCCTTGCATCAAGAAAAACTTGCAGGTATGTCTGTACAGTAATTTGCCAGTCGTCTTATACATATGATGCATACCTTTTTATCTGTTCTAGTGTTTTGTAATCCAGATGTTGTAGCTGGTGTTCTTCATGAAATATGATTTGCGCCAGTCATGTCAGCGAGACTATGAGACTTATTTTGCTGGAGAAGTATTTGGCCACCTTACTTTTGTGCTAAAGCCAGCTGCCCTTCAATTTTTTCCTGGGTGTACTATGCCACTTAGGTTTGGTTGTTGTGCAGTTGAAGGAACATGTTTGAAATACAATGGATAGACAATCACATATTTTCAGAAGTGAAGTGGCTAGGCCCTTGTTCTGATGAACAAGCAAGAAGCTGTTCTGATGAACAAGCAAGAAGCTTATTTTATAGTTAAGTACAAGTGAAAAGTTTCTCCATGGTGTATCGAAGCTGTTCGGCTGATGATTTTTGCGGCTGATAAGCCGGTTGATGCTGATTTGTTGTGAGAGAAAAACAATATACCATGTGCCTTCGATCTCTTTACTTCCCATTAAACCTAGTGCTGCTCTTGCGTGTTTGGAAATTCATGTACCGTGTTTTTTTTTATAACAATGTACCTTGTTATTGGCCTTAGAAATTCTGCTGATGTTGTTGGCTTTGTGTTTGACAATAAGCTTGTATTGTTTCTGTGTTCACCTACAGTTTTTTGTTCAATCTTTGCCTGTGACAAAGCGAACATTTACGATAATGTAAAGTAGTAACAGCGAGATTGCCGTCAGATCTGTGTACCAATTTTCAGTATACCAGCGATAATGACAAAGTGAATCATTGAGATTTCACCAGTGTTTGAAGTGGAATGGGTGCAAACTTTACAGTTTGTTCGTTTCGGCTGAAACGATCGTGGATTATTTACTGTTGGCTGGTTTGGCTGGTTTGGTGTGAGAGAAAAATACTGTTATAGCTTATAATCCATGATTGTATACGATCGTATAAGCCCAGCCAAACAGGCTGTTTGTAGGTCTGAGCTAGAAGCCTACAAGTAATGGGCCCACCTAGCTGAGCCAGATCTAAACCCACCAGACTTTGTGTACCAAAAAGCTTAGTTGCTCATTGTTTTTAGTGTAAATAAATTAGGTTCCTACCTTAAATTCTTGTGTTCAATCGAAGCATGATGCTTCTAGCTGCAACATCATCCATCCTTTTGTCAGTACTCAACCTGATGAAATCACCCAACTACTTGAGCATTCTTCTTTTCTTTCATCAAGTGATGACGATCTGTGTTTAATGCCATGAACTGATGGTGTTTCTGCTTTGGATGATACACGTATGATTGCAGCAGAGCACCAAGGATCGGATACGTAAATCAATCTCAATTTCCTTGCAAGGCTAAGGCCACCAAGGCCAGTAAACGAGCCAAGTAGAAGGGCCTGTTCCGGGAAGGCTCTGCACTCTGCAGCCTGCATGTGAGATGAATGAGCCAAGCCAATTCTACAAGCTGACAAGTAGCAGATTCAGAGAAGCAGGGGGCCACGCCGGCGCGGGATCCGGCGACAGCGGCGCGACCGGCTCGGGGTCGGGGACCAGGCTGCCGCTCCGGTCCCGGGGGTGCCCATCTGCCCGTCCGCTGCCTGCCGCCACTGCCGCGCCGACGACAAACAACGTCGTCATCCATAATGATCGGTATGTCGTCGCTGCAGAGTGCAGACCGCACCGCAGTGCTGCCACCGCCCTAACGAACTCCTTCCTCAGTGCTGACCCGTGCCGCATTTGCAGTTGCAGTGCGTTATGGGCTTGGGATGGCTGCTGATGCTCTGGGCACTACCACTACTGAACCAAAAGCATAGTAAAGGCTTTGTGCCCAGCAACCATTGATACCAACCATGGCAGAACAGAATGGCAGCGCCAATATCCTTCTGCTGCTGCTCTGCACATGCAGAGTACACTCCGTCAGTACTGCAGGAATGTGGCTGGCAACGCTGGCAGTTTGTGAGGAGCCAGCACTGCAACATCTGTCCGAGAGCTTCTTCGTCTCGACGTAAATTCTCCAGCCTCAGTCTCTGCACCAACCAGTTTATAATAATATTGTTCAAATGGTCCGATCGGCTTACCTTAGATCCGGTTTGTTCAGCTTTTTTTTCAGCCAGAATAATGTTTTTCTCTCACAACATTTTAATCAGAATAGTGTTTTTCAACTAATTTCAGCAAACCGAACAGAGCCATTTGTACTCTAACCGTTACAGTTAACCATTGCCAAGCCCATGGCTTTACTGACAAGTCCAGTAGTCCACCATCCTAGAGGCAGGCGGGCCTATATCTACGTGTAAAATTC